TGTCACGAAATTCATAGCTCGGTCGCAGCCGTCAGGAGTTGATTTGGGATATGATATAGGGGGTGGGACGGGAACATATTTGGTGGGGGTCAGAAAGTGATAACGACTGATAAGAGCTGATAAGAGGCGCTGAACGCAAATTTCACGAAATTCATAGCGCGCGTCCCAGCAGCAGTGGGGCGTTGGTTCCAAGAAGTGATGTAGGGGTGGGACGGGAACATATTTGGTGGGGGTCAGAAAGTGATAACGACTGATAAGAGCTGATAAGAGGCGCTGAAACGCAAATTTCACGAAATTCATAGCGCGCGTCCCAGCAGCAGTGGGGTTGGTTCCAGAAGTGATGTACAGGGTGGGACGGGAACATATTTGGTGGGGGTCAGAAAGTGATAACAGCTGATAAGATTCGATAAGAGGCGTTGGAATGCAGGTGCCGCGAAACCTATGCGCGTTTCCTCGCAACATTAAGTTGTTCCCGTGAAAGGATGTAGATAGTGGGTCGGAATCATGGGTGTGGAGGGAGGCGGGAGGGTGGCAGAGGATGCTGATAAGATGTGAACGAGCAGCTCGAGGACGGGAGAGTCACTGAAGTAGTTGATCAAGATGCGTGATGAGAAAGCATTCGTTTCAGTCGCCAATATCGGAATCTTTCGACCGCTAACCTTTCCAATCATCACAAGATGGTCGGTGTTCATGAAAGCATGATATGCTGTTTGGTGTTTCCATTGCAATATCATCACCACCAGAACTTAATTAAACCCTCCCAGCATCCAAACCATGGTAGTTGTTTTTGCTAATGGCTGATAGTAAGCAGTACAAGTAGTTGTGTTAGTAATCCAAAGCTTATTCAGCCGCTAGAAAATGTCAGTTCCCGAAAATGATGGATGTTTATGGGTATTGACGAGCTGCGGGAAACGCTGCTTTATCACCAGCGCTATAGAAACCTATCACATCGTCAAAAACATCGAAAGCAGATGCCTCATGTTTAATACAAGAGCACGGCTGTGCTCATTTCCACTAAAGCCCACTTTGATGTGGTAACGAGCGGAGCCAAACTGGTTATAGATACTTAACTGGGCTTGAACGGACTCACAAACAAGTTATTGTCAGTTTCAGTTCGTACTTTTTTGTAGACGTTCTCGAATCTCATAAGCACGGTAGAAAGTTGCTGCTTCGAGAAGACCAAGTTATTTATTTGTATCCACAATAGCCTTCATTCGGAATCAATGTCGTCAATTTACCACGGACATGTTGATTTTGAAGCCATAGCAAAATCATGGGACACCCTTCATTTGACTTCTGAAAATACGGAAACTACAGAAACAATTCGTTCCAGTAGTACAGGGATACCACTTTCAAAGGAATCAATCAAAGGAGTATGCAGAGTAGTAGGAGTCCGTCGTGCGTGGAGTATATCTGCTTTTTGTCAAAAACGTTGTTGAGCTGTTAGTTATTGCGTAGACGCGATGATCCAAAAACTTGATGTTAAGATCCGGACGGGGTGCCGTTTTATAATAGTAGCGCTACATCGTTTGTCTGGAGATCAAAATAGATAAGAGAGAGAGCCAGACGTTAGCATGCTGTAGATGGGAACGGACTTTGGAGGCGTGAGTACTTTTGTTGGGCACAAGACGTTAACGCCTTTGTTTGGCAAAAGGAGATAGCGGCTTCGTTGGGCACTTCGGAGCCGGAAGAGCGGGAGATCTGCGGCCTTCGAAAGCAGCTTTATCTTACTCGCCAAAAAGATTCGTC